CGCAGAGACTAAGGGAAGAGAAGACTGTGGTTAGCGCCTCTGATCTCTCTTACAGCCAGGTTCTCTGTCTACTCCATGTGAATAGTAGAGGAGACTAGGGTTTCAGGAACTTTCTGGGGAAACTTTTGAGGCATTACTGTTTGGGCTCCCACCCCAACCCCAGTGCAGCCCAGCTGTCTCCCAAAGAGAAGGGGCAAGATCTCCCCCTCTCTTCCCTCCCACATTGTGAGTGTGGCTAGGCTTCTCCTTCTCCTCTCCCTTGGCTAGGGGCCACTCCACTTGGAACTCAGAGGGCAGCTAAGCCAAGGCCAGATTAGAAAGGGTTTTGTGTAGCTGCCCACAGCTCCTCTCATTCCCCGGAAGGGAAGACAAAGGCTCAGTCTATCTGGGCCTCTGTCAGGTGTCCTGCCCACTCTGGACCCCACCAACCCTTTGCCCCCTCAGATTCCAATGGTAGGGGAGGGGGGTCCCCCCGGATGTGGAGTCTTTCAGCTGACCTAAAGTTTTAGGGAGGGGTGTAAAAGATTCATCAGCCAATCAGGGGAAACCATTATGGGAGGGGGTGATCAGAGGGTTGGAGAGAGCATCCCCACAGCAGCAATGATATCAGCCACCACCATCTTGATTGCGGAGAAAAGAAAGCCCTGTGTTTAATAAAGCCTGGGGGGTGGAGAAAGAGAGAGAGTGCGTGTGCGCGCGCGCGCTGGTGCTCCTGTGTGGGCAAAAGGAGAAGGGCTGGGAAAGAGACTGGGAGCCAAGAAGCACCCCTGGCATACACTCTCCTGACCCAGGGTTCCTGGGGAGGGGGGATGCTCTCCCAGCTCACCCCTGATTCAGGGAGGGGCCCAACTTCCCTTCCCAGCTCAGCCAAGCCTCCTCCTTAAACATTTCCCTGGGCTTCCAATCACTGCCAGATGTGTCCTGACTGCTGGATTTTCCCAGCTTCCCCACACTCCCTTCTCCCTCCCAGCTTTTTCTTCAGGGATGTCTGTGCCCACCCCCCTCTCCCCTCCCTGCTGCAGGAACGCTTTGGAGGGGTAGGAGATGGTCTGTTTTCAGTCAGTTGCCAGCTCCACTCCCCTGTGGGAATCCTGGGAGGGGGGTTGACCAGGTCCGGGCGCATGTACGAGTGGCAGTTTGCATCACATCCAAGAACGGCCACAATCCTGAGGCTTCCCCAGCCCTGAGCCCTGGCTGGCCTCTCACTCCTGCAGGGGGGACACTGGCCCTGATGATCACCCCCAACTCGTTGGGTGGGGTGACCTCCTCCCTTCTCCAACCTCTAGTGTGGCCCAAGCCTACATGAACCAGAGAAAGTTGGACCATGAGGTGAAAACCCTGCAGGTCCAGGCCGCCCAGTTTGCTAAGCAGACTGGCCAGTGGATCGGCATGGTGGAGAACTTCAACCAGGCACTCAAGGTGAGCCACCTAGCTCACCACCCCCGTTCCTGACCTCGAGGGGGGGCGGGGGACGGCTTCCAGTCAGGCCAGCTCAGGCATGGGCTGGAGGGGGGGAGTTCCGAAAGCCCCATCTATGATCCCACCAGCAGAGACAGAGTAGGAACAAAGCCATCTCCAGGGAATGGATAGAAAGTGCCCCCAGACACCGCTCTGATGCCTGGGCTACCCCCTCTACCCCCCAGGAAATCGGGGATGTGGAGAACTGGGCTCGGAGCATCGAGCTGGACATGCGCACCGTCGCCACTGCCCTGGAATATGTCTACAAAGGGCAGCTGCAGCCTGCCCCCTCCTAGTCCCTCTTCCCTTCCTCCACCTGCCTCCCCCCCACCTCACACACCCCCTGGGCCAGAGAATGCAGCCCTGACAGGACCACAAATAAAGCACAGTGCTCCATTCCTATGTGGCCCGTCTCACGGGGTGCTTGCTCGGAGTGGAAGATTCAAAGGTGTTTTCTCGAGGGGTCAGGTGCTTTTGATGAGAAGGTGGCCCGAGTTACCTCTTACTGTCTCAGTTCTATTCAGCCTGCAGTCTGGTTCAGATGCCTGTTAGCTGAGGAGAGGTTAGGAGGTACCCACACCTTGGAAGGTTCCCACACCTAGCGGTCCGCAAACTCCCCATTTCAGAATTCCCGCTGCCCATCATTGAGGAGAAATGAGAAGGGGAGCAAGCGGGGACCCAGTTCTGGCTCCCTGCCCCTCCGCGTGCTCACAAGCCTCTCCCAGGCTGGTACTGAGCAGTGGCATGAGTCTGGGCCAGGGGGGCAGATTAGCTCTTGGGCATAGGGGCCCGTGGGGCAAGGCAGGACAGTGGCAGGTCCGAGGCCATATCGGAGAAGGGCAGCTGCCGCCCTTGGCAGCACCCCGGCCTGGGACGCCATGACATAGGTAGTCAGGAACACAAGCCCAGAAAGACATCCAAGAAGGGGCCCAGGCAGGCTTGGCACTAAACAGTGCTCCGGCCAGCTTGGCTCCAGCACCCACCCACACCCCCACACCCCCACTCCTATGCCCCACCCCACCCCCATGCTGCGCTTCATGCACGCACGCACGCACACACTTAAACGTAATCCTCCTCTGGGACTTTGGCCCCAGCTGTAGCTAGCCTGAGGGGACCTTGGGAGACTGGGAGTAAAGTCTCACACAAAGCCCAGGAGGCTGCAGGCGCGGCAGCACAGGAGGTGAGCTGGGGTCCAGGGGTGGGGGAGCCATCACCTGGAATGGAAACAGCTCTGAACAGCTAAGCCTGCTCTTCACACCTGACTCCCTTCCACCCTTCATGACGGGGATGGGGGGGCGGGGGGTGGGGTGGGGTGTTGTCAATGAGAAAACAGGTTGAGACCAAGTGGGATGCTCATTGTCACACTTTGAGTTTGGAACACACCCCACCCCACCCCACCCCCGGACTGTAGACTCCTGGCCCTGTATCTAGATCCAGGTTCCATCAAGGCCCAGGTCCCATCCTGAGGGTCTCGGGCTCCAAGCCTTCCCAGGTAAGGGTGGGGGCAAATCCAAGGCTCACACTCAGCCCATGTGGCGTTTAGGTTAGTTACCAAGGTGGGGCTTGCCCACGTCTTTGCTTCCCTCTCCTCCCGCCTCAAGTAGTTTCTCCGTGGGCTCAGATCAGGAGACTTCCAGCTTGGGGGCAGAAGAGGGGCTTGGGCGGGAGGGCTCCCTCTCCATCTCCCCATCTCCGGCCCAGCCTAGGTTGCCACCTGCAGGCCCCTGAGCTCCGTGCTGGCATGTGGCTCCCTCTGCTGCTGGGTGCCCTGCTCTGGGGGGCGCTGTGGCTGCTGCGAGACCGCCAGAGCTTACCCCCCAGCGATGCCTTCATCTTCATCACCGGCTGTGACTCCGGCTTCGGGCGGCTGCTGGCGCTTCGACTGGACCAGCAGGGCTTCCGAGTCCTGGCCAGTTGCCTGACCCCCTCAGGGGCAGAGGACCTACAGCAAGTGGCCTCCTCCCGCCTTCACACAGTGTTGCTGGATGTCACTGACCCCCAGAGTGTCCAGGGGGCCGCCAAGTGGGTAAAGACACAGGTCGGGGAAACAGGTAAGTGACTGGGGCCACAGGAACTATGGAGTGAGTGCCCTTGATCCTGAGCGGCCTCCCGCCCCCAGAGGGTCACTTGCAAGGGCTGTGGGAAACCACAGGCGCTAGGTGGGGTCAAAAAGTAGGGCTGGGATCCTCCTTCCAGGAAGAGGGTCCGTGGACTGGCCCACGGCCCACCTGGGTGCCGCCTCTCCCCACCGGCCCATGGCCCACCTGGGTGTCACCTCTCCCCACAGGGCTCTTTGGTCTGGTGAACAATGCTGGTGTGGCCGGGATCATTGGGCCCACCCCGTGGCTGACATGGGACGATTTCCACCGGGTGCTGAGTGTGAACACCCTGGGCCCCATCAGGGTCACCCTGGCACTGCTCCCGCTGCTGCAGCAGGCCCGTGGCCGGGTGGTCAACGTCACCAGCGTCCTGGGCCGCCTGGCGGCCAATGGCGGTGGCTACTGTGTCTCCAAATTTGGCCTGGAGGCCTTCTCTGACAGCCTGAGGTGGGTTCTGGGTTGTCTGGGCCCCAAGCCCAAGGGTGGCTCCAATGTCCGCTCAGAAGGGGGGCCAGCAAAGACAGAGCAGGCAGCGTGTAATGCTTAAGGAGGTGATGGCCCAGTGGGAGACTTCACACATTCAAATCCCAGCTTCACACGTTCAAATCCCAGCGTGCTCTCAGGGGAGCCTTGGGGCTTCCTTCCCTGTAAAACCGGGAGGTCTGTGAAAGGCCCTTAAAATAGGGCCTGGCACATGGTCAGGGCTCGAGAGAAGCCCTAATATCATTAACTGAAGGACTCACTGCTATTCATGACAAAGAGGACTTAGGATGAGGTCCCGGCTTGAAATAATTCCCCCAACAATCCTTTCAGGATAGGCATTCAGACCCTTCAAGCCCCACCCAACCTGTTGCCCTCAGTTCTGACTCAGAGTGACCCCACAGGACAGAGGAGCACTGTCCCTTGGCGTTTCCAAAGCAGACTGCCTGGCAACCGGTTCAAACTACTGACCTTAGCCGAGCACTTACACACCGCACCACCAGGACTCCTTGTGAATAGCAGATGGTAACATAACTTACACACACACACCCCACCCCCGCACTGAGGGAAGCCCATATATGTGTGTGTATGTGTGTGTGTGTTCAAAGTTTCACGGGGCACTAAAGATCCCTGTGGGGATCATTAAAAGTACCACTGAGGATGGCCCGCCCAGGAGCAGGGATGCATGTCCCACAAGCTGAGCCCACCTTTAAGGAAGGGTGCCTCTAACACCACCCCTCAGCAGATAGCTGCAGTGTCTACGTCTGTCCCTGTCCTTCAGTCTCAGCTGCCTGTGTTCCAGCTGGCAGCATAGAACCTGTACCTTCCATTTGGATTCCTGCAGCTGTGCCCGGTGGGGCACGTATCTCCACTTTTTGCCTTAGATTCCCCCCAGAAAACACCACCATCTGCACAGGGACGTAACCCTGTGTGTGGGGGAGTTAGGTCAGAGTTCCTCCCAACCAAGAGCTGGCAAACTGGCTCAGGACAGATGGCGCCAGCTGCCTATGTGGTTACAGCCCATCAGCCAAGAGTTGCTTGTATATTATCCAACGGTGACACTGTAAATGGCTGTACAAATGCTTCCATGACAGCTTCAGTTCTGCTCCGTAGCCTGCAGTGCTCAAAATGTTGACTCACTAGCCCTTTAAGAAAGTTTAGCTCTTTCCAACTGCTTCTCTGCTTTCTGCTTGGCCACGCAGTGGCCTCTCTCCCCAGCCTCAGGCCGCCATGTGTGGGTGTGCAGTCCATGAGGTTGCCTGCATTCAGTTTAACTGTAAAACCCGAAATGTCTTCTGTCCTTCATAAAAGCCCACTTGGATCACCAAAAAAGAAAGAAAGTTTCATGATGATGACTTAATCTGTCAACCTTTACCTGATTCACAGTAAAATGTTTTCCAAAGAAGAAAGTTGAATGATCCCTCTTCTAGATCATAAGGAGCCCTGGTGGCACTGTGGATTAGACATCAGGCTAACTGCAAGCTCGGCCGTTCAGTCCCACCGGCTACTCCCCTGGATCGACAAGGCTGGCTGCTCCTGTAAAGATTTTGAGCCCCAGAAACCCCATGTAAGGTGGCTACGAGCGGGCATTGACTAGATTGCGGTGGGGGTTTTTGGGTTTATTCTCGATCACAGAATATGGAAGCAAACAAGCCTCGAAAACAAACCCACCCACCCACCCTCCCGACCTTGGTCAGACCTGTCCCAGCCCAGTCGGGAGAGGCTGACAGCACATCTTAGCTATCCCCTCCCCCCCCTGGGACAAGAACACAGACGCGCTCTGCCCCTCCCTCAGGCGAGATGTGGCTCCTTTTGGCGTGAAGGTCTCCATCGTGGAGCCTGGCTTCTTCCGAACCCCCGTGACCAACCTGGAGAGTGTGGAGGAGGCCCTGCGGGCCTGCTGGGCAAGGATCCCTTCTGCTACCCAGGCCCAGTACGGAGAGGCCTTCCTCCCCGAGTGTGAGTAGCTGGGCCCACAATGGGGCAGATGAAGGAAGTGAGAGTACCAGGAAGGCCGGCCTACACCAGCCTGCTGGGAAGAGGTGGGTGTGTGGCCAGGGAGGGTAAGGGTGAAAGGAGTGTCCCGGGGACACAGCCAGCCAATGGGGAGCCAGTCCACACCGCACGCTGGAAGCGGGGCTTTGCTAAGAAGCCGCTTGCATTCCACTGGGCAGTCCCCAGAAGGGAGGATGAGGTGGGCTGGCGGGAGGGTGGGACGCTCACATCACCCCGCCCCGATCTCTTCACGCGGCTGCAGACCTAAAAGTGCAGCAGTGGATCATGAGCCTGCTCTGTGATCCGGACCTGACCAAGGTGAGCAGGTGCCTGGAGCACGCCCTGACTGCCCGTCACCCCCGAACCCGCTACAGCCCCGGCTGGGATGCCAAGCTGCTCTGGCTGCCGGCCTCCTACCTGCCAGCCAGCCTGGTGGACGCTGTGCTCACCTGGATCCTTCCCAAGCCTGCCCAAGCCATCTACTGAATCAAGAGTCAGCACTGAGTGATTTCTACCCCCACTCTGGAACTGCTTGGTACCAGGCACAAAGTAGGCCCAGGATAAATGTAGACTGTTCAGCAAGAAGAAAATTAAACAGTCAAAAACATAAGTGGGCAGAAACGAACGAATTATCCCCATTGAACCGCATAACTACTCAGACATGTCCTGTCCCGCGTCTCAGGCCTGTTCAGGCTGTAAAACCAATAGAACCCACTGGAGGGCACAAGGGGACGGTTTGTAGCCATGGGCCTCCTTTGATGCCTGGAGTGGCCACCAGAGGGCGCTCTCGGGAGTCTCCTTTATTTCCAGTAACTAGTAATTCAGTGTTTGGAGAGGGAATGGGTTTTTACCATTTCTCTTCTGGGTAGGAGGGCAGTAAGGGTTTGGGGGAGATGGGGACGAAGCGGTTTCAGGGCCAAGCTGGGTATCACTTTCTTTTCTTTTTTTTTTTTTTTGCTGGGTCACTTTCAAGGAAAAAAAACACCACCAAAGTGTTCCCACTATCATAATCGAAGCCTTAAAAAGGATGCATGCACACTGGCCACAGTTGTCAGCAACTTAACACCTTAGGAGGAGCCACGTCCCCTTGAGGACTGTGGGAGAGCTGACTGCTGGGCCTTCAAAGGTGGTGTCCAAGGTACACGGGGGCTCCCTGCAAAGGGGGAAACCACTGTGACTTGGGCAGGAGATGGCATTGTGGGTGTTTCAGCACCAAGTCGGTGGCACAAGACTAGGTGAACATGGAAGGCACTGGGCCCCCTCCCTTCCAAATATACCCCCCACCCCCCAAAAAAGTCATACTTTTCCCCAGAGTTCCAGAAGACAAGAAACATGGATGAGGAAAGGAAAGCGATCAAGTCTCATTCGTTAAAACAAAACTACCTTTTTGGTGTAGGGAAAAAAAAAATAATCCGTTTAATTGAAAAACCTGGAGTATGCTGCCCCACTCCCCTAGACGAGGGAGCTGAGGAAGCCAGACCTTACATCACTTCGTACCCACTCCGGATACTTTTCACGAGGCAACAAGCCAAGACGATTCCCAGGACCTGGAAGGAAAGATAGAGTGGGAGGTAAAGAAGAGCTAGAGATAAGATACCCCAGGCCCACCCAAGGGACCTCAAAAGACAGCTGGGGCTCCCCTCTCAGGCCAATGCCACCTGTTCAGCACCCTCCTCCCCAGATGCCCAGGATGTGGTCCCTGCCCCTGCCCAGGTCCCAACTACTCACCTCCACAAAAGCAATGCCCAGGCCTGCTGCAGCCACTTCCACCATGTGGCTTCTCAGCCAGCCACCAATCTTCTCCACACAGCCCTGGAAGGTAGCAAAGGCACCAACACCATCAGAAGTTATCCGTCCACTTCCCCTGGCCCAGATGCTTGACACCAAAACTCTAGTGCCTCAACCCTATCTTCTTCCAACCCTTCTCTCTCACCGCCTGATACATTCCCCAAGTGTCCCAAGGCCCTGTGGTTTTGAGCCTCTTCCCTACCTCGGCATTGATATCCTTCACGTTGAATTTAACCCCACAGTTCTGAGTGACATTGATGCAGCAGGAGTCAGGAACTCGGCCCCTGGGCTCCAGAGGGATGTTCTCCCAATCTGTGTAGTTTGTAGCCCCACAGCACTTAAACTAGGAAAAGACGGAGAAGTTGTGAAGGGGCCCTCCTCACCTTCAGAGTGGAAATAAGAATCCTCATGCTCCACCCATTACCCCTGCCCAACAGCCCCGCTCACGTCCTCCTGCATCTTGTCCAGGATCCTAGCAGTGGTGTTGTCCTTGGGGTAAGCCTGCATCTGCTTCTGGAAGTTGCTCTTAAACTCTGACCGAATCTGAAAGTGTGGAGGAGCGTGGCTGAGATCAGACCTCTGGGCCTGGGACCCTAGAACAGCGAGCCACCTAAGTCTGCCAAGTCCAGCCTACCTTGTCTCTGAACACATAGCCAGCAATGGCTGTGGCCACCTCCACCAGCATGATAAGGGACAGGAAGATGACAAACTGCAGGCACAGGGGACAGGAGTCAGGTGTGGAGTCTTTGGGTGAGGAACCCCTACCCAGCCCCTAAATCATTCTCAAGGGGCCTCGACCACCTCCCCCCTTCTTTCCAGCTCCCTCCAAGGACAGGCCCTTCCAGCAGCCCCCAGGCCCCACTCACCGTGATCATAAGATAATAGTTCTCTTTGCACACACCACAGCAACCCACAAGGGCCACCAGGAAGAGGAAGACACCCATTGCGATGATGACCACAGGCAACAGGGTGCCAGGGTTGGCCCCTTGGCTAAGGGTCTGACTCAGGACCAGATGGGTCCCCACACCCACCGCGATCAGTCCCACGGCACAGGCCTAAGGGGAGAGAAAGGTGGGTCAGGGTTAGGCCAGATCCACACCCTCCACGGTGCTCTCACATCCCAGAGACTGAACACTGGGGGAGGCGGGAGGCGTTGAAGGAACCACTTCTTCCTTTCCGCACCTTGGCAGCAAAAAGGAGGGCCCAGAAAGCCCCAGGGCACACATTCCACAGCCAGAACATGATCCCTATCTGCCTTCAGGGCTACTGGGCGGGTCCCCTCAGGCTCCTCCAGTGCCCACTCCACCCCCATCCACCCTGGGGAAGGAGGAGGAGAGCCACACGCGCCTCCCGGAACAAACAGTAGCCTCTCGAGGCTGGCGCCAGGGCAGGAGCAAGTTGAGGTGGGCAAGGTTCTCCCCAGCTGGGGGCGGGGGGCCGAGGTCCGGGAGTGGGTGGGGAGTGGAGGGAAGCCCCAGGCGATATCATCAGGAACCGTTGGCCGGTTGCCCCACTGCCCAGTATCACAAGTGGTTGGGTCACCAGACAGGAAGGGCCAAGAGAGATCAGGGGGCGGGTGCTGGTCACCCTGGCTGGCCGTTCTCGGTGCAAACAAGCCAGAGGAAGGAGCGCAGGCACCCCCATCTTCCCGTGCACATCTGGTCCCCAGCTGCCCGCCTCCCTGCCCCTCCGACCGCAGCACTGGCTGGCGAGCCAAGTCTCCGCGCACAGCCAGCGCGCCCCGGGGGCCCAGCTGCGCCCCTCCCACTACTCACGCAAAAGGCCAGCAGAAAAACGTAGAGCAAGAACTTGACACATTTCATCCCTCCTTCGGCCGCCATCGCTGCCAGGCCTGCGGCGAAGGGAGGTGGGGGGGGTTAGCAGCGGCCGCCGGGGGAGCCTCTGGTTTCCGGGCTCCCGGCGGCCTTCCCAGCCTGGCCCCCATTCCCGGCCCCTCCCACCCGGAAACCCGCCGCCAGGTCCACGTCTCCCAGCACCCTCTCCCACGGCCCGCGGGGAGGGGGCGGCGGCCGCCGCCTCCAGGGCCCCGGCTGATTCCCGGGCGCCCTGGGGGGCTCCAGGCCGACGCCGATCGCCGGCCCCAGGCGTTAGACACCCGCTCCCCGCCCAGCCAGCCCCCCAAACCGGTCCCCGGCCCCGCCAGGCCTCGCTTCCCTGCCACTTTCCCGAGTTTGGACACCAGCCCCAACGCCCTAAGGGAAAAAAGTTCGATCGGCGCCTCCCCCGCTCCCGCCCGGGCGCAAACTTCCGAGCAAAGTTGCTCGCGGGTCGCGGGAGGAGCCCGAGGGCGCAGGCAGAAGCCCGGGCGCGGGGCGCTGCCCGCTGCCTCCCCGAGGCCACGCCGGGGTCCCGCCGGGGCCC